GCCAGACCTCGGAGCCACGGGGGCGGCGCCCCATGTCACCGCACACATTCCCGTTTCTTGATCGGTAGCAGCACAAGCACAGGATAGACATATCCGAACTCCAAAGAAGTGAGATGACCATGCTGAACCAGTGCTGAACGCAGCTGCAGCGGTGAAATCAAACACTTGTCCGCGTCGGGGACCGGGAATGTCTTCAAATTCAACTGGCCGAGCTACTAAGCGCCAAGCGCCGACTGTGCTGCGGCCCAGGCGGCCCGGCACCGCGTTCCCCTCTTCTCTCCTGTCACAGTCCAGCAACATATCCGACCGTCGTCCGAGCTCATGGCATCACCGCAGGATCCAGAGTCAACGTTCGATGTGGCATATCATTGCAGCGCCATCGGCACTGAGGGCTCCTGAAGAAATATATATATCTGGCGATTTCTTACAGCTCTCCCTCAGATCTACTCCTCGTTCTATTCACTCTCATGCAGTCCACAAACCAAGCTAGGGGCTACGTTCGCGCCGCAACACCTTCCGAGTACGCCGAGGCGACCCGGGTGCTTGTTCGCTCGTTCGCGAAAGACCCCGCTATGAACTGGTACGGCGGCGTGACGGAGATGGTGGACGACATCGACAACCCCTCTCCCACCTCCAAGCGCACCCTCCGCAATCTCGAATCCTTCCAGGGTGGGCTCCTCGAGGCGACCGCCCTCGTGGGTGGCTCCGTCGACATCGCGCTTGTCCCATGTCCAGAGTCGGGGAAGGAGAACGGGGAGAGGAAGGAGGAGATCGCGGGCGTTGCGCTGTGGCTCCCGCCAGGAAAGACGACGGATTTCAGCCCGTTCACGATCCTGCGGTCCGGGCTGCCAAGAATTCTAGCGGGATGGGGGCTTGGGGCCGTTAAGGTACGCTCATCACTGGCGTTAATGAAACGGACGATGGTGTTCATGCACCTTGCTATGTACAGCGAATGCTGTCCGACTGGACCCCGGTTGTAGAGCGCGAGAAGCTAGAGGCGTTCAAGGCTCGTGGACTCGACCTCAAGGACTCATGGCACCTGTTGACGGTGGTGGTAGACCCTCGCCATCAGCGAAAGGGTCAGTCCCAATTCCTTATCAACTTGTCGGTCTAGGTTATCGGTACCGATACTTATGTTGGCTGCACTCAGGCATCTCTAGCATGCTACTCAAAGAAGGGATTCGTCGCGCATCACCGAAGCCCATTCATCTGGAGGCCACAACGGCGAATTCTCGCGACATCTACGCTCGGTACGGGTTTGAGGTGAGTCTACCCCTGATCCCTAGGGTTCTGTATAGCTTGTCGCGGAACACCGCTGATGCAATTTCGCTCTTGTCCTTGCAGATCAACAGCGAAGACTGGTTCGGTGTTGGTGAGGTGGACAAGAATGGTATCAAGGTCCGAGGCCAGGAGGCGGCTACAGGGTTCCCGGAGTGGATCATGACGAAGGTGCGTGAGCTTGTCGTGGTCATGTCAAACGATTCTCAAAATTTTCTTGCTACAGTGGACATCATAAACTTCTAACCCCACGCTTGCGTAGAGGGATGTACAGTACTTTCGGTCTCGGTTTCGTAGTTTGTCTTACCAGCTGCTGCTGAGATCTGAGACACTGAGGGTGTTAGTTCACGTCCGAAAGGTACGATCTCATGGTTTCGTGTTAGATCGCGGCAAGGAGGTAGGAGCTCATGGTTCCTTAAATACTCTAGTTGAGTTGACTAGTAGCTCCGACGTGCGACGTTAGGTTTGGGTTGAGCCTGGATTTACACGTGTTTACCTCTGGCTACCTGAAGTGCACCTGCAAACACTGCACTTCTCACCAACAGGTTCTGCTGACCGTGAGTCACTCTGCTCGTCAAACCGAGCCAAGCCGAACGCAAACGCACTGTCACGAAAGCTTTCAAATCTGGTCGCCATCTAACGCCATGCTGCTATGCCAACCGTCTTGCTTCACACAATCCTACCACAATCTCCGGTACGCACCTTAATTACCCTGGGGCTGACCAGGTCTGCGGAAGAACATGGAGACGTAGCGGACTACTATAACTCTTGGCGGATGACACTAGCAGCAAGTCGGGTCCGTCGGCGTAGTCGGAGGCGGGCTCGCACCAGCAGGAGCCGACCGATTCAGGAGACACGGCGGGAGGGTCGTAGGAGGAACGGAAGGAGACGTCGGCGGTCTCGGTCTCTTTAGTCGTGAAGGCGAAGGCTTCTCGTGTTCGTGCCCGCAAAGCCCGGCGCCGTTACGTTCAGCCACGCAGAAGACCGTGTAAGTGATCGAGTCGCTCTATCGGAGGGTCCCGTGTTCACTGAATCCTTAACATCACATCTCAGTGTATGTTCCTTACGCTCACCATCCTCACGACAATCGATCGGACGCCAAATATTCGTCCCGACAGATACACACATCATTTTTGCTCAGTTCCCTTGCCTCTATATCCGCCACACGAAAGGGAGCATACCGCTCGTGGTATTACGACACCGTGATCCGATCGCGCAGAACCAACTTTCACGAGTGAGAGAGGTTGCGGACGAGAAAGGACACGGAAAACATCCAGCGAGATAATAGGCACCGAAGGCTGAGAACCGAGGGCGGCACGCTATGGCACGGCGAATCCGAACGTCACGCCCGCCTTCTCCATTCCGTAGGGTCCTTCGTGTCCGTGCGCTCACTCACGTCGGGCTATACCGCAGTTCGCCCGAGTGCTCCATGTATAAAAGCGTACCTCGTCCTTCGAGAAGTTCACCAGCCACCTCGACCAGTATCAGCCTCCCGGTCTCTCATATCAGCCTGCAGGACAGCATCGTCACTCCCTTTTGCACTCCATCCTTCGATCAGCCATGCTCTTCTTCAGCTTCCTCGCCGTTTTCGCTCCCCTTGCTTTCAGCGCGGTTGCCTCCGCCATCCCGCTCAACCATGCGTCGCCAGTCGTTCGCTCCTCCAACGATACTGTAGATGTCAGCAACGACACTGCCAGTGCTCCCGAAGGCGTCGCTGCCGTCCTCAACAACGCGTACCAGCAGCTTGTCCCTATCACTGAGGGCCTCAGTGGGTACCAGCACATCTTTAACGAGAGCGATGGCTGACATTCGTCATAACAGAGTTCATGAACGACCAGAACTCCACCGAGGAGGCCCTCGCGCCTTCCATGAACCAGATGAGGGACATCCTCTCCGAGACCATCTCGTCTCTCCGCCTCCTCTCCAACCAGCCGCGCGATGTCATTTTCTCGGGTATTAACTCGGGCATCAACTTCAACAACAACGCTCAGCTCCTGAACTTTGGTGACATCTTCAACTTGCTCGGCCTTCTCCTCTCCGTGAGTTGCTATCAGACCTCTGTGAAGTGAGAGACTGACAAGGAGGACTCTACCTGCAGCTGACCGTCCCCGGCCTTACCGCTATCACTGGGTTCCACGGGTCTGCGATCCCCGTGTCCCTCGCCGGTAACGTCTCCCTGGTCGGTTCCCTCCTCGGCACGGTCGTCACCCTCGTCCTCGGCCTGCTCTCCGGCGTCCTCGGGGGTGCCCTCAACGGTCTCCTCGGCGGTCTCCTCCTCGGCCTCTTCGGTGGGATTCTCAACACCTTCGTGACCCCCATCATTCCCGACATTCGTTCCCTCAACATTGTCGCTCTCAACGCGGCCCTTGGCCTTTAAAATGCGCCGATAGATTACGACATTACGGACTTCTTCTCCTTCGATTTCGCACTTCGGGCTTCCCGCGCTTGCGGCCTTTTACTGTAGCATGAGTTTGTCAAGGACTGTTGTTGTGTTTTAGGGTTGAGTGCTGTGCACAGCATGGACTGTCCCCGGGACTGCTTGTATACTCTGTACATCGTCGAGCTAATGCGAGTGGAAACTGGTTTTGCACCAACGAACCACTGCGGACTGAGTACGAACGAGGGACGATATACCGCCGATCAGGATGTGTATGCATGCCGGCATCTTTCGGGCATCCAGTGCTTCTGAGCGGGGTCGCTATGGCACGGCGCCGCGACCGTGGAGGTGGTCGTTGAGTCTGGAACTTTGAGAGCTGAATATGTGGATGGCGATCGCGACTCTGGTCACAAGAGGCTTCCGCACAGCAGCGTCACCGACCGCGCATCATCAGCTGGCAACAGCCTAGAAGGACTTAGTGACATAGTCTCATCAGACACCCTCTTCTGCACTAGACCACTTGTGAATAACATGGAGTCAGAACACTCACATGTCTCAATAGCTAGGCCGACCTGACCGAGAGCGTCCGTCGATCGGATTCAGGGGTTAAGACCGGCAGGCGGGCTTTTTCCAAGTTGCTTCTCGACTCGGGCTTGAGGCAGTACCTTAGGATCCTAGAGGCTAGTAGTGCAAGTGAGACATCGTCATGATTTCTGAGTTCATGGGACGACAGAGAAGCAGGACAGACGATCCGAGTGCACAACTAATAGCACCGGCACAGTAAACTCGGAGCGCAGACAGGTCCCGTAAGTCCTCCCGCCCTCAGACGGCGGGTTTGACATGTTGAGGAGGACCGCAACAGGAGGCACAGCAACACTCGAAGATAAGAACTTTGCGTGCGGACCCAGTTGTCTTTCCGCTCGGAAAGTTCCGTCACGTCGAGCTGCTTGGGTGGCGTCCGAGTTCTGCCCGCCGTTCGTACAGGCTTTACCGTCTGGGCGTTGTGGTGGGAACAAAGCACATGTACACATCGAGGCCCGTCGGCAATACTGGTGACCGCTGTTTGGAGTTGTGAAGCGACCGACATGTAGTAGATAGTCTGGTGATGGAAGGATCGTCATGATAATCAGGCTGTTCCACGGGACTACAACTAAGTCGTATATCAATATTGATGCCAGGCTGAGTGTAACGTCGATGCAGAGGATGCACTCACTACAGTCAAAGCGGCAGGCTCAAGTTGTTCCTCCCTTGTCATTGATTTCTGCTGATTTCTGATGAGTTCATTGCGAACCGACTCGATATCCCTCCCTCTCCGAATACACCGTTGTGGTTTGTAGAAGACTTAGTCCTTGTCGATTAGTGGTCAGATCATCACATTGTGGCACAAATCCGCAAACCGTGGAGGCGCAGGTTCGACTCCTGCCTGGGACATCCTGAGACCTATGTCTTTTTGTTACACAAGGCGCAGACGGACGTGATTCTGAATGAGTAATACCGCGAATAAATGTACGACTACATAACTATACTACCGTATGATACATGTGTAGCACGCGTCGGCTCATGAAGGTGATGAATCGGCGCTTTAGTTCACAGATGAACCTAAAACCCCTTCTGCGTTAAGCTAACGTCCGAGCATCCTGCCCGCCGTTAGCGTTCATGACCCCACTAGGACCGAGCACGGCAGGCGCACTCGGGTGGGGCTGCAAGGGAGTGCTCGATGTGGGGTGAGGCGCCGCCGGCATCGCGAGAACAGAGCGATACGATGTGGTACCATGTGCGGACCAGAACGCGTCATACGTCAGCCCTCCGCCAGGGCTGGTCGCTGAGGGGCCCGCCGCGCTGGACACTGAGGGCGCAGCGGAGTTTGGTGTTGGAGGAGGCAGGGGTATGGGCATGGACGACGCGGAGATAATCGAGCGCAGCGCGGCAAGCTGCGAGTCGAGGTGCTCTGTCGGCTCCATGGGGTCGAATGGTTCGCGAAACGTACTATTCGTGCTCGGGCTCTGCTGCACTGTGGAGGTAGAGGATGTGGAGGCTAGTTGTGAAGCTTTGGTACTTGACGATGCGGTCTTCAGGGAAGACCCGGAAGCATGATATAGACTAGGCGTCGCCTCCATGATCACGGTCGAGGTGGACTCGGATCGCGTGAGGGGGTAGCGGGTGACTGAAGTACCAGCGCCGAACCCGAGGTGGGGCGCAAGGGGGGTCGCGATGCGACTGGTGTCGGCAGTAGGCGTCGAGGGCATGGTGGGGGCTGCGGTGGACTCCACACTTGAGGATGATGCTTCTCATCGCGGAACATCAGAGGGGGCTGGATGCGATCGAATGTTACGAAAGGGACGTACAGGTGCCACTAAGGGTGCTGTTTGGGCGCAAGTTGGAGGGTCCCGCGCCTGAGCTCATGGAGGCAAAGATTTGCGCTGCGGCGCCATCCAGAGATTGCTCGCGTCGCGCTCCTATCATGGAGGGTACATTCTCTTGCTGTGTACTGCTCACGAAGGCGTTGGAGGAGAGAGTGCGGCCGTTACGGCGACCACCAGGGGAGATGACAGGGTAGGGGCGCGTGAGGTGTGTATGCCGGAAGTAAAGGTTCTCGACTTCGCTGAGTGTTTGCCGTTGCTAAGGAGGGGACACCGACGTGGTCTGAGGATGCATCGTATTGTGTGAACGGCACAGAGAACGCACCCAGCCATGCTCAACTTTGAGCTTCGCATACTGCAACCGCAACCGCAGCTGGCTGGAGAGCTACGGATGCGTGACGTTATGGCTTTTGCAGTTGCTAAGTATCTGTAGACGTACGTAGTTCGCCTTTGCCTTGTCGGTGATAGTTCCTTTACTCCGTTCCATCTTGACATTGCTAAACGTCTCTCCCTCCGCCCTTCGTCGCTTGTGATCCGGAGTAGCCATTGCGTTGATCAGTGGATGCTCTGCCATCGGGTTCTCACTGGCGCACTGAGCAGGGCAGAGGGACCAGACCACACGATGTCCGAGGGACAGGAGCAAAGAGTCAAGACGCTGCAGAAGCGAAGCCACCCTGCACGACCGTCGCGAAATACAGGCGTGTCTAGTCACGTGAGATGCCGCTGCCGCATAGCGCCCTAAGCTTTCCGACGGGCCGCCAGCCGTTGACGCCCTCTTGAGAAATCCCTCTCGCGCTGAGAGCTCGTCCTCATGCTCGCTCATAGTGCGCCATGTCCCATCTGACTTGTTGCTGCACCCGGTGTTTGGATGAGGTATTATCCATCCATGAGACATTCCGGAAATTATTGCATGTGAAGTATCAGCTCAAGTTTCAAATCCAAGATGCGGATACTTATGTAGTGTGTTGAATGCACCATCATGATGCAGACCCAACAGAACCGCGCCCGCCTTCTCCTCACCTTCGACGACGACACGCCCTAGTGTCCTGCGTATGTTATCCTCTGCAACGGAGACGCAGGAACGCCCTGGAACGGTCCGCATCAACATCAGCGGGCCAGGATGCAAGGCGAGCAGTCGGAGCAGTCGTTCGCTTGGGTAGGGCTTGAATCTTGATCTACGCGGCGCGCTGTCCATCGTGTCGAACGTACAATTGACACGAGCAAGTATGCTTGACTTCGAATGGTCGAACACAAATGGCAGATACGACACTAAGAGACCCATGAGCGACCGCGCCACAGTCCAAGGAGCGTCCGGGAGAGGGCCACCGCCGGAGCTGCAGCCCACGACCCGCAGGACCATTGAAAGGCTTGCGCATCCGGTGGACCTTGGTGTTACACTGCGATGACAAACCAATGGTTAGCACGACCATCACGGGATGAGGAAATAGTGGTACCTGGAGCTGTAGTCTCGCTTGCAGGACGTGGAGGTCGAGCACAATCCGAGTCAAACTGACCTCCGGAGGGGTTCGCAAATATGGTACACTCGAGTTCAAGACCGAGTACCTCCGTCCTGTTCAAACTCAGAGGGCGCGCCACACCAGGTCCTGTCCTATCGCTTGCGATGATTTGGCGGCTCAAGCGAATAGAGTGTCCCGTCAATGGAGTAGCTGCCGGTCTCGGGCCGCGTGTGCGCACGATGAGCATGGTGAACACGAGAGCCGTCACCGGCAACAGCTGCAACAAGTCAGAGAGTGCAGTCGCCGCATGTCGTTGAGACGCACAGGTTCCACAAACAGGATATACACATTTGAGCCAATGCTTTCGGCCACGATCAGGATGAACAGGTGTATGCAGTAGATCGAGGCTGCGAGTGACGGAGAGCATGAGATTGCGCGTAAGCGTTGGCGATAGGATAAACTCCTACTCACGTACCGGTCTGGACGAGGACGTCAAATACACGTGAGACCCTGCCATCTCTCATTCCGGTCAGATCTAATGGTGCCAACAATTGGACGCTCCGGATTTTCCAGCAGATAAGGCCTACGCATTTAAGACATTGTGAGTTAACCAAGGACAAAGCGATAGTGGCACTTCTACCCTTACCAGCAGATATCGCGTTGAGAGCAAAGCCAAGAATGAAGAAGGCGCGCACTGGAACGATGACCTCGTCTGACCTGGCTATGTCCTGGAATGACTCAGCGTGGAAGAGGCTCCACCCCGACCAGATACCCAGTCCTATATCAACCACGCGACCTGCTGTTCAGTAGATCGCCGCAGACTCAGAGCGGCGTGACGTACCGATATCGGCAAGCAGAATTAACACAGGAACAGCGATGATACCCACTTGGCCTTCCCAGACAAGAAAGGTGCGATAAACCTGCATCGTTCGTCAGAGTCTCAATCTTTCGTGTGTCGTGATCGATGACTTGAGTCACAGCAGCGTGAACGCTCACCATAACGAAGTCTGAAATCAGGGCCATGGCGACTTGACTAATTCCTTTGATCAATAGCGAGGTCGATTGCGAGAAGTTCGCAGACACGTTTCGTTGGTGACATAGTCCGTCCTCGTGCACCAAAACCGTCTCGTATGCGAGTACCATCTCTGAAATGAGCACCTGTGAGTGAGAGGTGATGAATCAGTGTAAACTCGGTGATGGCCCGCCAGACATACACCGGTCATGATGAGGAATATCATTGCGCAAACCAACGGCAACCATAGAGAGACCCCCTCGCGAATCTTGGTGCGGAGGATAGACACACATTGCGGGGTGTAAGAGAAGTATGCGCCTACGAAGTTATTGGCCGTCAGTCCATCGTGTCAGACTCGGTGCCAGAGAACATAACATGGAGAGCCATACCCGCTATGAGCAACTGAAGCCAATGACCTACAAGCCATGCATTTGGCTCCGGGATATCTGCCATGTGGTAGGCGTGTCAATGTTGAAGGCGGGAGAATGCAGCTCCACGACAGCGTGGATTCGTGAGTTAAGAATGAAGCTCGCGCGCCGCCATGACCCCCCGACAGTTACACAATGCAGCATGGCGGCGTACTGGAGGCACCACCAGCACGCATAGGCCAAAACTGACCATATGGACTAGTAGTAGCCTGGCGGTCGGACCGCGCAAAGGGATGGAGAAACGGTCTGTAATCCTTCCGACGCACCAAACGGCGGATTGATAGACGCCAGTCCAGGCTGGGCAATAGCATAACTACAACGAACTGATATCAGTGAGCGTTTGCATGCGATAGCGAATCTAGGTGTTTTGGACGACCGGTGGGTGCGGAGAAATGACGTGCGATCGCCTCGCTGCGCAGACGCACATCACGGTGATACAGTCGGAGAACAACAAACCAGAGAGACGATGGTATCGAGCAGGACCTCGGGAATGACTGGGGCGGGTCCACTTGCCCCCGGGTCCCCGTTGCGGTCCATAATCGTGTTGAACGCCGGGGTGCTTGAAGGTTCTCATGGAAGAACGATCGCCTCTACCGTTGCTGTCAGAACGCACGCGACATTGTTGACGTTCCTGCGGTGGAATCCGCGAGAGAGGCGGCGTGGTGTAATACTCGGGAGGGCTATAGTCGCGTTCTTCACGCACATGCATGAAAGGTAGAAACGAGTTAGGATCACTGCACCGACAAGTAAAACTTGCACACATACCGGGGTTTATGGGCACAAAGTGGCTGACAGCGACCCAAATACCAGGCGGACAGTTTCAGTGCCACACTATGTTCTTCAGATGCCGCTTCAGCCTACGCGACAGGTACATGCAAGAGACCCAGGTGAATCTGAGACATCTGATATCTGTCAACGCATAGCATAGTTGTATCGAAAGTCAGCCTATCGAGCATAGGCATCACTGCAACTTGAACGTGCTTCCGAGCCCGCCGCGATGATCCGTAGCAAGAACCAAGCGAAGAGTTGAGTAGACGTAGACTCTGTGGTCAAGGTGATCCTGTTGTATATCGTCTAACTAAGCGATCGCAAAGCCAGGCTTGCGAGAGGAACCTTCAAGTTGATGGAAGGAGAATGTGCAGTGCCACGTGGCATAGGCTTCGGCTGGGCCCGT